GGTGTTCGGCCAATCACAATGCGCTGGGTCAGCTGGCCAATCAGAGCAGACTGCACTTGTCTGAAGGAGGGACTTTGTAGAAAACGAAGCGTTTGAGAGAGGCGGGGCATATAGGAACTACAATAATGTACAGTATTTGAAAAATAATGTGTTTTTTGAACATTAAAGCATTTCAACATATTCTGTTACACCAAATACACAAAATAATGATTTTTAAAAAAGCATCATATGACCCCTTTAATGCTTTCTATCAGTTTGGGAAAAACATTACAAAACATTATTGTTTACTAGTGTGCAGTGTTCTCACACACCCTGCTGAACATTAGAGCTGCTGTTTTAACATGAAGCCCTGATTTTGATACAGATGATGTGTGCGAGTCTAACCTGACGAGCGCTTCGGGTTTGCTCAGCTGATTGTTGGGAATGCAGTTTTCCACAGGGTCTCTGTTCGATGCAGAGTTCTTCCCTCCTCCACACTTCTGTTTCTTGTCCCCCTTACTTGAGGAAGAGGCGGACGACGAAGGTCCGGAGGAAGACGGCACGCTGCCGTTGGCCGTTCCGTGCCCCCGGGGCGAAGAGCTCCCTCCCCCTCCACTGGCATTTTTGTAATTTTTGTTGGAGTTGGAGGAGGAGGAAGAGGAGGAGGATGAAGAGTGTTCATCTTTCAGCAGGTTCTCAGTGCTGCCCAGCAGATCTGAGCTGCTCAGTCTCTTACTGTTCACGTGGTTCTCCATGTACTCCATCTCCTGAGCTTTACTGTCCACTGATGGTAAGATGCTGCTGGTGCTGCTGTTATGGTTCTGGTTGTGTTGCTTTTTGGGCTCGTTCTTGCCTCGTTCTTTCTCTCTGTATTCCAGCTCTGGTAATGTGTTGGATGAGGGTTTTTTACCGCCCGCCGATCCGTTCTGTGCCACAGCTGGAGAGTCTACATCATGAATGCCTTTAAATGCTGCTGCTGCTGCTGCTTATAAAGAGAAAGAGAGAGACTTAAAAAGAATAGTTTATACAAAACAGAAAATATTTACTCATGTCACAACTGCTATGAAATTTTTTTGAAGTTTCTTCATGCAGCTCTGTTTATACAAAGTCAGTTCAAATCTGTCATGCCCCCAAAAGGACTAAAACACTTTAAAAATGCATTTTAAGTAGTCCATCTAACTCGTGCACTATGTTCCATGTCATATGATATACGATAGTGAGGAACAGACTTAAATGTAGGTTGTTTATCACTCCTTTTTGGAGCTTGACAGCCATGGCCAATGAAGAGCTTTGCAGAAACTGTGCAACATGTCTCCAAATACCAGCATATGGTTGGGTGAAAGATGCCGATAGGAGACACTGTGCAAAGTCCTTACCCTCCTCTGCTTCTCTCTCTTGTCTCTGTATGAGCTGTTGTTCTGGAGGTAATGCCTGCTGCAGCAACTGCATGTAAAATTCGTTCTCTTTCTGCACTTCCTTCTGTTTCCGCAGACGCATCTTATAACTTACATAACTCTTAAAACCAAAGCCCAGCGTCACCACCGGATACCCGATACTGTGAACACAGAAATAGGACATCATATAATTGGCATTGTTGAGGAAAAAAGCATCACAAAAAACACTGAAGACACAAGTAAGAACTGTAACTTCATGCTTTGGTCCGAGTAACCTGTTCTACACTTTACACCACGAGAGAAGTGCTATCTGTTTCAGTCAATCCCTCCAAAAATATTTGGGTCTAATATTTTCAATTTCGGTGCATCACTACTGCTGATCATAACAAACACACAGTCCCTGGACAATTACTGATGTAAACTCAGTTCCCAGACGATCTGCTCACGGCAGTAGTGAAGCAGGTCACACGTCTTCACTTACAGTACTAAAAGCATGACTAATGGCGCTTTTCCACTGCGTGGTACGACTCGGCTCGGTACGGCTCAGTACGGCACGGCACGGTTCAGCTCGGCACGGTTTGCGTTTCCACTGCAGTTCAGTACCGCTTTAGAGTGGGCGGGATTATTCACATGTCGTTATAGTTGCGCCGCCTCTACTACCACGACTCCTAAAAAAAACTTTTTCATTCCGCGTCGCCCCATCAAGCTCTCGCTGGATCCGCTCCTCTGCTATCAACGAGAGGAACGTCTGTTCTTCCGCAACAGACAACAAAACTTTTTGGTTGTTAAAAAAAGGTGCGCTCGTTCAAAACAGTTGCGTTCGATCCTTCGCTGGCTGTGCTGATTTAAATCTAGCGGTTCTTTTGTGTTTGTGTCGCAAGTTCAGTGACGCAGGTAGTGACGATTCTCTCTGGCCAATCCGTGATCAGCAGAGTTTACACGTCACGTTTTGGTAACGGTACGGTTCACTTGGAACCCCAACCGAGGTGGTACTAAAAAAAGTACCAGGTACCAGGTACTGTACCCAGTGGAAAACCCCCCAAAAGTGAACCGTACCGAGCCGTACCATGCAGTGGAAAAGCGCCATAACACTCTCCGAAATGGTTTAGAGGAAAGCAGACAGATCAAGCTGAAACTTGCTCACAATCAGTGCCGATGTTTGACTCATCAATGTAAGTAAGGACTGAGGAAAATGGCATACCAGTGTGCTGCAAACGGACGACACAAGTCCACGTGGAAGTGTTTCAAATCTTTAAATCTGATAGCTGCCTCGATATAAACAAAAAGTATCCATAGCGATACAGTGGGAAGGCAGACCCCTCGTTCTGTGGAGAGATGTGAGAGGAGAACGGTCAATTCAACATGTGCTTAAAATACTTCAGATGACAACAGTGAGTGAGTGTAATAATCTCAACATTAACAGCCAGAATTAATCTAAACAAACCCACAACGATTCAAGCACACACTCTATGAGTGAATCTGAATCAAGCATCAGCTCTAAACAGGGTGAGTGAGTCATTTGAAGCAAATCCTTTTGTTGACGTCAAGATCCAGAGCTGCTCAGTCACACCGGCAGAAATAACCAAGCTTACAGCTGCAAGGTCACAGTGCGTGTGTGCGCATGTTATAAAGCCAGAATAAATCATGTTATGACAACAAAAGCTCACAACAGCATGGGAATGATCCTCTCATGCTGGAGTTCTAAGGTGTCAGTTGTACACACATTTGTAAAATGTATTTTAATCCATCTTTATAAAGAGGATTCAAGAAACCACAGATGGAGTCACAAGTGTGTCTACACCATACTAGACTGACACTGTGACTGACAGACATGTCAGTTTGAGGTTGTCTATACTGGAAGTGTCAAAGCTGTGAGTCATGAATGTTCACAAACCGCAGACCAATCAGCTGTAAGCTTGAGGTTAGACTTCAGTAACAGTACAACAAAAAATACCAGATCAACGATGGCAGGGTGATCATGTAATACAATATGAACAGGTGTGCGGCTCTTACCTGTGTGCCAGACGTACTGTACCCACACATATGTGCTGGCTGCAAAGAACAGCCACTGCACTGGGATGAACAGCAGACATATAATATCTGATGTGAATGCCACACACACAAAAAACACTGAGAAAGCCTGCAACACACAGAGAGACACATCAGATCATCACATGTGCAACTGGCATGACATGTCATTTCACACGCCTCAGTAAAATGTCATTTCAGCGTCCTGCTGTGAGACATGCAAAACATCATATAAAACAACCCTAAACAGCATTTTATAATTATGCAGTTTTCATGATTATTTAAGAGACATAAGAGGAACAATAACATACGTTTTAAAGTAGTGGATGCATATAAAGTGCAAATAATACTTCAATACTGATGGCTGACCTTCTGTAAATGAAAAAATCTCTTAATCTCAGATAAGACTAAATAAGAGTATAAACTAGTTTATGTCCCTCACAGGATTATTGATAAGATCAAACTCATAAAGAGGTGCATAAATTCTTCATACAGTATAACAAACAATTAAGATATTTTTTTATGTTTTTCTAAGAAGTCTCTTATGCTCACCAAGGCTGCATTTATTTGACCGAAAACATAGTAAAAACAGTAATATTACGAAATGTTATTACAATTGAAAATAACTGTTTTCTATTTGAACTAGGGCTGGGTATCGAGTTCGATACTTTTTAGGCACCGACCGAATTGCCTCGATACCATCGAGTATCGATAAACGTCTCGTCGTTCGGTACCAAATTTCGATACCTAAGGGGTTAATCTCATCAGCATCAGTGAGCCAATAAGCCTGCAGAGCGATCATGGAAGAGAGAACACAGGCAGACAGCGCTGGAAGCTGCTAATGCTCATCAGTAAATCAGTGGAAAATTAATAGAAATCATGATTCTGTCTGAGCTATGCTTTTTAAAACGAACACTAACTAGTGTAAATGTAGTCTAACAGATGTGTAAACTGAAGACTATTTGAGCTTTATTAAAACTATTTTGCTCTGATTTATTGTGTTGGTTACATTTTGTTCCTTTGTGCAGTGGCTCAGGAGATGAGTCTTTGAGTTTGTATAAACATCAACAAGCTGAAAAATAAAACCAAAGTTTGTTTTTTTAGATAATTTAATCTTGTTAAAATTGATTTCATAAAATTGGTATCGAAAAAAGTATCGTTCAGGAACCGGTATTGAAGTCAAGGTATCGGTATCGAAAATTTTTGAACGATACCCAGCTTTAATTTGAACATATTTTAAAATGTCGTTTATTCCTGTGATGGCAAAGGTAATTTCCATCAGCCATTTCATAAAGCATTTACAATATATAATATATAAAAAATACAAATATATACAATATATAAAAGGTAGTGTTTAAAATGTATATGTAGCAGCTTATTTTAAGAAACATTTTAAGAAAAAATTACAATTCTGTCTTCTATAGTCTACAATTTTTTTTGGAGCTTATAAGCAGTATAAATCAACATGCATTTTTGCTGTATGGAAAACAGAAGCTCAGGCATTTTGATAAACATTTGATTTTGTATTGGACGACATGAGCGTGAGCAATCGATGCCTTTAATTTTTAGTCCCATTATCTGGATGAAACGCTTGTCTCACACACACATACTCACCAGGCCCTGGTATCTGAAGGAGTCGTAAACACTGCGAATGAAGAGCCAGAAAGGCCAAAGGTACTCGAAGCGGAAGTCCAGGACAAAGTCTGCCAGCAGCACCAACGCCCAGACCACCAGAAATTTCAGGTACAGGAACGTACTGAAACAAAGAAGAAGAGATATTATTACCCAACCATTCAAACATCCATTCAAGATCTCATCTCTTTGAATAAGACCCCACATGTGGTCCTGAGCCAATGAACATTTAGCGACACGTACAAGCAACTCCATCGTGAGCTCCAGTAGTAAATCCAACCCAATGAAGCATGGGTAGGTGGGGGAGGATGTAATCACTGTTTGGCTTTCTCCAATACAGCGTGTAGTGAATGAAGTGGATTATGTTTTATATCGGGATGAGAAGAGGCCAAGAGCACATGAGTAAGATGTATCTCCAGATGTAGCAATGCAGATCCGGTGTAATAAATCCAACAGATAACAGAGATATTCTTTATAATTACGCCTCAGCGATATATTGAATACTCTCCATATATTATGCTGTCAATGTGATTCATTGTGAATCTCGATTTTAATGTGTTTTTTGGCCATTAAATGGCCCTAAAGACTGTGTCACCAGACCGATTTTGTGATCATTCTTTGTTTATAACAGAGATAATAATAACAACAAGAAAAAGAAATCTAGTTTTTTTTAACAGCCTCAGATTTAAACTACCAAAAAAAAGTGGTTGGTGTTGGTAATTAATTTCCATGAATTTCATAATAAAAGAAAGCATCATTTGGAAGAGAGGTGTAAAAACATACACTTTAAAACAAACTTCTTAATATTGTTTGGGGAAAAAAGTGGAATACTGCAGCTCTTCTGTCTTTAATAATTATGATTCATCTAATAACATCTACATATTTCTCCGCTGCTCATACAGATAATGAAGACGCTATTAATAGTGTTGAGATGACAGAAATGGTTGTGTTAACGGAAGTTCAAAAAAAAAAAACAGTCACCGGACTGGTAGATCTGGGCTGGTGACATATTTGCTCAATTCCACCTCACTGAGGAAAGCAACAACACAAATCAGATAACAGGTGTTACAGATGCATCTTCACATATTTTGTCATCAAAGTTGACAGTCAATGGATGGATGCATCTGCATATGCAACACACATTACACATGAGAAAAAGAGGTTAAAATACTTTGATGAAAGATTTGAGGACTGTTTTCATTTGGAACATAACCAAAAGCATGTAAATAGATTAACATTCAATTTTATTCTGATTTGAAATAAAACACCAAATTCTATGATCTTCACATGAACAACATTTGCTTCATATTTTAGCATCACACAGTTAGAACCAAATCTATTTCTTAAGATCTCTAACTAAAATCTGGTTTTATGTTTTGGTGTAAAAATCATTCCAAATGAACCCCCAGCTGAGTTATTTCCCAGATGCAGACTTGAAATCACATGCAACATTATGTCAACATCTGACATGACTGAATGTATGCTCTAGAGCCACAACATTAAAGAGCAGAATAGCAAATGACTGATAATGGGTGAAGTCTGGCAACCGTCTTTAATGGCAGAAACAGTGCCAGTTATTTACCCACTGTGAGCAAATCGTAGTGTTTAACTGCGTCATCTATCTGCGGAAATAGCAACGCTTTAACAGTGGAATTGCTAACAAATACAACTAGCGGTGTGCAAAATATTGAATATTCACGATATATCTGCAATTATTGGCCAGGAGACGAGCGTATAGTTTCTAAATTCGATTCATTTTTGTGAATCAGTTCAAGCTGTCAGTGAATCAATGGAAAACTCTAATAATTTCTTGCAAGTATACGCACATTATTTTTAACATAACAATTGCTTTGTTAAAATATAGCCTATATGTAGGTCAATATTGCTGTATATTAATGCATTGTTAATTCAGTGCACTGTGTATACTGTATTTTACTAAATATGATTACTCCTTGCACTAATGTACACAAGGGGTTATTTATTTAATTATTTATTTATAATTAATTCCTTGTTTGGAAAACATGATTTGATTATTTCTATCTAGTTTGTTACTGTATTTTACCTCTGGCATTATGAACCTGCTTGGCCTTTTCAACTGTTTGGTTGAAATCATGGTTTCTCAGATTGAAGAAATTCCTTTTTTGACCATTTCAGAGCAAATATTCACATAAACTAAAGAATAATTGTTGCGCTCCAAATAGGAAAAAAGTCCTTTTACTTCAGGTGCGTAGAGCCAAGGGAACAATTACAAATGTGAATTAAAAACAGCTCAGCACTGAAGATAGCAATGTGTTTAACGTCTGCTTGTATATTTGTTTTTAATTCACATGCACCCTGCACTTTTTGCACAATGCAATTTATAAAATAAAAATTTTTTTTGCTAGACTTTTTCAGCTTGTACTGGATTCAGTGTACGGCTAGCAACCTTCTTGTTCAGAGCAAATATTCACAACATAATTACCTATAAATTGTTGCTATCTATAGGCATCTTTATACAGCTGATTTAAGGCTGCTCTGTGCCTGCTTAAAATTCTGTGTAAAGATGCAATGCAGCATAAAAGCCTGACTAAACTGTGCCTGCTCTGACCCACCTCAGCCACTAGTATCAAATATGGTTATCACTGCTGTGTAAATGCATTCATGCCACCTCTGAGTAGCATTAAACAGTCTGTGTAAAGACACCTAAACGCCACTCCAGAAGCACCTCCATGCCACCTTTGCAGTGTGAATTTGGTATAGTACACTTCACTGACATCTTGCTTTAAACATTTGAAATTAAGTCCTTATATGACCACCAGAAGACATACTACCAAACACTGAACAGACCCAAACACTGGCACTCAGAAATAACAGGTCAGCAATATGACCGGCACCCCATGCATAGAGATTAACGCTATTATATGAGAGGTTATACCAGTAGCGAACCGTGACTCTTGAGCCTAGGCCCTCTCCCCCTACCCTCGTCGGGGGGAAAAAACTACCAGCCTAGCTTACGGTGTCCTCTTCTAAAAGTCATCTTTGACAATTCTACCTCTGAAACAAGAGGCTATCCAGCCTTAAGGCAGTCGCACACCGGACGACATGTGCAGCCCTGCACCGCACCACGTCTTTCAAATTCCCACACATTGTTTTCCATGACTGTATGGACACCGGCGTTGCCACCGGCGACTGTCCGCGGATCCCGACGCTGTTCATAATCCTGCTGCGCCACAGAGCGCCACTCACATAATTTTCCATTAAATTACATTATATTTGTGCCAAATTATTGTTAAAGTACATAATGACTTCATCCTAGGTTGGAAGATTGTGTATTGTGCATTTTTCAGCAAAACGTTTGTCTTTCTGTGGTTCTAATAAAAACTCATTGACACCACTTGCTCATTCTTGAAGTTAAGTTTTGACTGTTTGGGGAATAGATAAAATGTTTTGGACTACCGTCTTGAACTGAACGCGACACGTTCGGTGTGTGATGTGTGTTGCACCGGGGCACCACTGTGCTTCTCGTCCGATGTGCGACCGCAACAAAACAGCACAGCGAGAGTGACTGATATTACCAAAATAAAACAGCTAAATTTAAGTCAAATGCAAATCCTCATTACAAATGCATCATCACACAATATTTGCACTTCAGCGGGCAAAACGTACAGACACTCACTCCCATCACACAAAACCAACAAATGTAATGTGTTTAAGACAACACATCATGATAGCGCTGACACAACAAATTAGCGACAGACACTTCATGACAAACAAGCAGCGTTTATATTAAATAATATTATTATTGGCATAGCGGCCTAGTAAATGTCCTCACTTACGTTATTTTCGCTTCCATAGTGATGTGAATAATAGCTAGTTAGTTTATCAGCGTATATATATGAGATTTGCTAATTAAATTAAGGTTATTCTCCTTGCGGTCTTGTGAGATGAAATCACAATCGATCAATGCCTTCGGTGCGGTTACTGACAGACTAACGGTCCCGTCACGTCAATCATTCTGATGACTGACAGTTGCTGACTCTAACCGTCGGGGCTCGAGCCCACAGCAGTTGGTTTCGCGGGTTTTCTTTCTTTTAAAGCGTATCGCTGTAATGAGGCCTACGGCAGCTTATTCATTTCTGCGGAGACGACTGTCTACCTTCAGCCAAGCATTGTTGACGGTAGCTCAGCTCGGCGATTTACAGTCTCTCTGTGAGAACTTAGACCATAATAAAAACGAAATCTGAGTCATTCCTGAAGCTCGGGAATGATAACGGTTCGATTGGAAGGTCTGGATCGTACCTGCTGTAGATCCCCTCGGTGATTCGGTTCCGTTTTAAGGGCCGTCGGAGCTTGCTGCAGTCCGCATTGCGCCGCTTCATCCTCGCCCCCTTAAATCGGGCTTTTTAATACGTACAGCAGTATGGTCCAGGGTTCTCTCTTATTCGGACGGGAAACATTGGCGGTCCCGCAAAGGAATATACCGCTGTGGTGGTTGTTGTTTTTTTTCTCCTGGAAACAAAGAAATAAATAAAAAGACTGAGTGGAAGACCCTCCTCCTTCTCTCGGCGCAGACGCACAGACACTGGCCTAGACAGGTGTGACTGACAGGCCGCTGAGCCAATAGGAATCGAGCCTGTGAGCTGTCAATTTGAATGACAAGACAAACAGCCAATAAGCAGCGGTCTGTTTTGTTGCGGCATCAGAGAAAGGGAAATGGGGCGGCTGACAGGTTTTCCTCGTCCCACCAATCGCTGTCTTTGTGGACAAATCAGTTAGTGCTCCCTGACCAATAGGATTGATTTGGGCGGGACTCTTTGTACGATTTTTGCGTATGATTTATGAGAGATGCGTATTTCACATAAACGTACTTTACGTTGGTAAACAAAGCCCCACGAAGAAGCTATGCATTATTAATTTAAAGATTAATATTATGATTAGTGGTCATTTAATTGTACGATTAAAAGAAGCCTACATTTTAATCCTCCCAACATTTCTGAATATACACTGCATAAAATGTTAAAGTTGCCACGAAACGGAATTTGCGATAGTCTTAACAATTAAATTATCCTCAACTGATTTCAATTAAGTGAAAATAGAAATACATTTAAAACAATTTCACTAACGTTAATCTGGAGAAAAAAAAACACACCAGTAAAGATCTCAAAAGGTGCTGTAGGACGGGAATAACAAACTTGAAATACTTCTTGCATCATGTTCTTAAGATATTATACAAAGACATCATATTGGTTAATTGCACATGTAGGTGGCATTTTTGGGAAATACCTCCATGTCTCTTACATGCACCTGATTTTACATATTCCTCATCTCTGGCGGGTGTAGATTACAGACATTCACAGTTTGTCACCTAATAATGGCTCCTCAGTACGCCCCCAGTCTCCGCTCAAGGCTTCCTCTTGTGGCCTTCCTGCTGGAAACCATCTTTATCCTACTGTTTGTCTTTTTTGTGAAAATAGAGCAGCCTGAGCAGATTGACAGAGAGTCTGACAGTAAGCTTTTCATCAGCTCATATGCAGGTTAGTAAGTCTGATTTACATTAAGGCTGTGATATGAATCTTTTAAGGGTTCAGACTTGCATTCACTGTTAAACCTGAGGTTATTAATGAACAGCATCAAATCACATCACCTTTTGTTAACCTGCTATGTTCAGTTCATATGTTAATGCATGCTAAAGTTTGCATATCAGTTGCATATTCTGCACAGAAACGAATTCCTGGACTTTTTTTTTAGCAACTTAAACATATCAAACCAACCTTGTGTAGCAAAAAATATATATTTTCAATTATATTATTAAATACATATTTTTAAAGGCCAAAAATATATATTTCCTAAAATATGTTTTAAAATGCAATTGCATACAGTAAGTATATTTTCCACCAATATATATTTTTGACCTTTTTTTTGTATATTTTTGGAAATATATTTAAAAAATATAAATGTATATTTTTAAAAGCGTTTAAAATATATATATATTGCCCTCCATATGTTTCAATACAAGAAAATACATTTACATACTTCACATTTGATGAACATATCACATAAAATCAGCAAGAAACATACTTTACAAAACACAAAAGCAATTACAATATTGCAATTAAAATTTTTTATTAAGTTATCTTAAATCTAGTAGGCTATTGCATCCACATTTGCATTTAGCTTAAATGTAGGCTACCGTAAGATTGGAATTGCATTTTGAAATATATTTTGGTTGAATGTATGTTGAAACTAAATATATTGTCCATTTCAAAAATATATTTCATTGAGCTTAACTGTTTAGGACATATTTAATATATATTTTGCTTTATATATATATAAAGGAGTCATACCCAAAATAAATTATGATTTTACCTTGGTTTGTTTGTAAATGTGTGCCATGTTGCCGTTGGGGTGTGGAGCCACAACATCTCTGGTTTTGGATGATAAGAAGCATTTCTCTACCACAAGCAGTATTACAGACTGACCACCATTTTGCCAAATGTTTCAAGTTTTTATATCTTTTTAGAAACATACACATTGCCAATAATGGAAATGCATTCCTTTCTACAGAATTCCAAGATATTCAGGTGATGATATTCATGGGGTTTGGATTTCTGGCCACGTTCCTTTTACGATATGGTTTCAGTGGATCGGGGTTTAGCGTGCTGTTGGCAGCCATGGCCATCCAGTGGGCCGTCTTGATGAATGGCTTTCTGCTGCCACAACGACACCACAGAAGAGAGATCCACATCAATATGAAGAGGTACATACATTACAGCTCTTAGCAGATGCTTTCTTACAAGAGCCAACAAAGTATTGTTAATGACAAAAACCAGAATAGGCAAGTCAATGACAGATAAAAAGCCAGTACACCCAAACATGTAAATTTGCTAAAAATGTATTTACTCTCAGGCCATCCAAGATGTAAATGAGTTTCTGTCTTCATCTACAGATTTGAAAAATAAATTTGCATTACATCACTTGCTCACCAAAGGATCCTCTGCAGTGAATGGGTGCCGTCATAACGAGAGTCCAAACAGCCGATAAAAACATCACAATAATGTACCTATTCACTGTAGAGGATCCATTGGTGATCAAGTGATGTAATGCTAAATTTCTCCAAATCTGTTCCCATGAAGAAACTCATTTAGGATGGCCTGAGGGTAAGTGCAATTTCAGCTAATTTAAATTTTTGGGTGAACTATTCCTTTAAGATGTTTTACAGCATCAGACTTTATCAAATGTTATTTGTGCTCCTCGTGTAGTGTGATTGAGGCAGAGCTCTGTGCAGCATCTGCTCTGGTTGCCATGGGAGCAGTCCACGGGAAGACAAATCCTGTGCAGCTTTTACTAATGGCTCTGGTGGAGGTCACAGGATTTGTGGTCAATCAGTGGATCCTGCGAACTCTGCTCAGTGTAAGAGAACTTTCCCAGATAAAAATGATCATTTTTATCCTCTCTATATATATTTCTCTGTGCAAGAAAATTATAAAGTTCTCAGATATAAATTTATTTTCAAGATTTCCCATGTCCTCATCTCAAGGTACATTGCAAGCCAATTTCAGTAAAAAAGTTTAAAATAAAAACTGCGATATTTTTTTTATGCTATATCGGGCAAATTCAGACGGTCGACACATTTCTAGACAAACAGCTTTTCCCGTCTTCAATTTTTTTTTATTGCGAAACACAGAAAAATGAATTATTATTATGTGATACTGTTGAAAATATCATTGACAAAAATAAAATAATATTAATATGAATACTTGCAATAATCTGAATACTTGCAAGACATTCCACCTAGTATTGTGCATGCTATTTTATTCAGACAGACTGTGTATTTTCATACTGTACTGAAGCAGAGCTCAAGTATCAGGCAGATCCAGTGTAGAGCATCATGCTGCTGCATGTCTTCGGAGCTCTGTTTGGTGTCATGGGTGCTGCACACCAGTGCATGAGAAAGAGAAAACTGACCGTAAGACTGGCTTATTCGCAATGTTTGGTGAGTACAGTAACCAGTTATCTATCTCTCAAACTCAGAAAATAACCTCAAAACTCTAAACCAGTTTCATGGTTTCAGACCTTAACCATAACGGCACATCAGATGATTTAGAGCAAATTCCAGTGAGCTTTAAACATAACCAGTTGAATGTTTAATAGCACCTTATTTCATACATTTAAAATATACATTGTTGGTTCAAGTCACTTCAATTTTTATTTTTCAACAAACATTTTTTCTAGAGATTATTATTTACCGATTATTTAGTTTGCGTGTATAATGATTGAGTTTCATAGCTGTGACAGTAAATGTGAGCACATTACTTAATGAATCAACGTGTTCGAATGCTTAAATAAATAATTCATTGACTAAAGGCACTCACTTGACAGTTAAAGACAGTTATTTTTGTTCCTGAATGAATCAGCTTCTTTCAACAATTCATTTGAATGAAATATTCACTTGTTCCAGTCATTGATTTGATGTTTTCTTGTTTAGTTGCTAAATGAATCTGCGTTTTGAACGAATTGGTTCAATGATTGAGTGACTTACTCATAAAGACAGTCATTGATCACTTCCTACTAGTGTATAGTTGTATTCTGCAGAAAAATTAACTGAACAAATCCCTCCACTAA